TGACCGCTGCTGAGGAAACACTAGGAAGCAGAGAGCACAGCGAGCCAGAGGGGCTGGGAGCGCTGCAGCTGGGCTGCCCTGCATGGGTCCCACATACCTGGCTTTCTACCCTGCAGGCTCACTCCGCCCTCAGCCACCTACTGTTCTCAGGCTCTGAGCTGCTACCTGCCTCAGGGACCTTCCCTGTGTCTGGTCACCAGCCTTCTCTCACCTTATATGCCAAAGGCCTTAAATGGACTCACATCTGTTGACCCAGTAAATCCATGTCAAGGAATTTGCCTAAGAAAATAACTCAGACCAAGCATGAAGATTTATATAAAGATGTTTAGCACAGTGAGGTTTAAAATCATGAAACATTACTGATAATCAAAAAGACCAGCATGCTGGGCATGGTGTCTCATGCCTGTAATCCCAGCACTTTGGGAGTCTGAGGCTAGAGGATCACTTGAGCCCAGGAGTTGGAAACCAGCTGGGCAACATAGCAAGACCCTGTCTTCACAAAAATTAAAAATAAATTAGCTGAGTTCAGTGGCATGCACCTGTAGTCCCAGCTACCTGGGAGGCTGATGTGGGAGGATCACTTCAGCCCAGGTCGTTGAGGCTGCCATGAGCTGTGACGGTCCCACTCCAGCCTAGGCAACAGAGAGAGATCCTGTCTTAAAAATAATAATAAAATAGTAAAATAATTTTTTTAAAAGACCAGCACTAGGAAAACATGGTGGGCCTTGGCTCTGACTTCAGATCATAGGAACTGGAGAGAAATCTCTGAGGGGGCCTGGACATTAGCTTTTTCAACAGTTCCCCCCTCATCCCCGCTCCGTGATTCTGATCCCCGGCCAGTGTTGAGAACCACGAGGGTCACCTGATAGGCTCTGCTCAGCCACTGTCAATCATGTCTAAGAAGGGTTTCTGTGCGGTATTAAAAATTCTCACACAAACTAAAAGGCAAAAAAAATTTATTAATAATTGGGATAAGGGATTGCTTTCTCAGGCATATCTCATCTGCCTACAGAAAGTTAAAAAAACCAAAACCCAAAAATGGAAAAACGAAACAAAAAATTCTAGAACCTAGATGGAAACCTGCCACTGCTGTATCTTACCTCCTGATGACAGGATTATGGGTGGTGCTTTCTCATTTCTAGTCCTGTTAGTTTAAACATTTTTTTTTTTTTTAAACAAAGAGTAGGATTTTTTTTTTTTTTTGACTGAGTCTTGCTCTGTCACTAGGCTGGAGCGCAGTGGCGTGATCTCAGCTCACTGCAACCTCCGCCTCCTGGGTTCAAGCGATTCTCCTGCCTCAGCCTCCTGAGTAACTGGGATTACAGGTGTGGGCAACCATCCCCAGCTAGTTTTTGTATTTTTAGTAGAGACGGGGTTTCACCATGTTGTCCAGGATGGTCTCAATCTCCTGACTTCATGATCAGCCAACCTTGGCCTCCCAAAGTGCTGAGATTATAGGTATGAGCCACCACGCCTGGCCTGCAAAGAGCAGGTGCTATTTTTATAACCAGAAAAACAACTAAAAGACAAGTGACCATGGGGAGGGCCTCAGCACTGTGTTGCCTGTACCCTGGCAGGCTCACTCAAGGCACCACCCTCCCCACAACCCCACATGCAGCCAATGCCTCCTCCTATTTCTTGGGCTCACATTTACTTTGGAGTTATTATTTTAAAATAATCCCCTAAACATTTTTTTTTTTTTTTTTTTTTAAAGACAGGGTTTCACTATGTTGCTCAGGCTGGAGTGCAGTGGCACAATCCTGGCTTACTGTAGCCTCAAACTTCTGGGCTGAAGCGATCTTCCTGTCTCAGCCTCCCAAGTAGCTGGGACCACAGGCACGTGATACCACACCCAGCTGACTTATTTTTTGTAGAGATGAGGTCTCCCTGTGTTGCCCAAGCTGGTCTTGAATGCTCCACCATGCCTGGCTGCCCCAAGCAATCTTACACGGGGAATGTTGTTATCTCATATTTTAGAAGAGGAGAATTTGCCAAAATTAAATCTATAGTTTAAAAACCATCTAGGTGACATGGTGATGACGTTGGCTTGAAGTTTGGTTGGAAAATTCCAAATTCTCCAGCTTACAGAAGAAAGCCATTGCAGTGCAGATGAATGAGATTGAAAGCCTGACACGTCTGCCATATTTCATTGATTCTAAGATGAAAATTACTTCCCATTATAACATTTTTGAAATCTGGATGTGTCTTATAATTGGTAGCATCCTTCAATTATAATTGGCACCACTCTTTTCCCTTTCTTAATGATACGTAAACTAATAGTACATCTTCTAATGACTGAACGGCAGCTCACATTCAAGGACAAGTGCCATGTCTCCATCTAAACTCATCATGTTATCTCAAAGGTGACAGTTTTAATGGCTATGTAATATCCTATCGTAAGATGGACTTTAAGTTATTTCACCAGTTACCTAATATGGATATTTAGTATACTCTAGTGTTTTACCATTAGGAATGCTGCTACTGTGAAGACCTTGGCATTAAGCATTCCCTTTTGCTACTAGGAGCATCTTCATCCTCTCCTAGGCTCCAAATCTTGGGAGACATTTTGGCACTTCTTTCTGTTCATCTCCATATTTGATCTATTGCTGAGTCTTGTTACTTCTTCCTTCACGGTCTCTGTTCCTGGTGGAGCCACCCAGGGCTCTCTTCTGAGTTCTCACAACACTCCTCTAACTGGTTTCTCTGCCTCCAGCTCTCCTTTCAGTCCATCACTGTCCTGCTGCTCAAAGGTAACTTGTCATGTCACATTTCTGCTCAAAATCTTACACTCCTCACAGGGTAAGGTTCACTCTCTGCCAAATTTGGCTCTATCCTCTCCTGCAGCCCCATATCCCCACCCAATCGCTCCAGACAAAATGGCCTGCTCACTGGCCACAAGGGGCCCTGCCTCCAGCACTTTGCTTCCTCAGTTACCTCTACCTCCTACTCTAGGAAGGGATGTTTCTTTCTTTCTTTTTCTAAACCTTACTCATCACATCCAGTTCAAGTTTCACCTTCCTTATGAATGTTATGGCTCAACTGATCCTTTGGAAGGATAGGCAGGCTTATTCTTATTTCACAGGTGACGAAACTACAGTTTAAATGGATTAAGTGGCTTGCTTAACTTCGAGACAGCTAAGAAATGCAGAGCCAGGCTTTAAACTCCAGAGCTTCTGTCCTTAAACCCAGTGCCTTCAAGAGCCATGTGTAAGTACAATGAGAAACTCCTCCTGTGGAGGAACCTGTGCTCAGATCCTGCAGCCAGCAGTCTGTCCCAAGCTTCAACAGCCTTTGATTCCAGATGCACACACATGCCAACAGTGAGATCACTGCAATAGTGAAAATACTTCAAGTCTGTCTGTCCCCAGCAACACAAGCAAAGGATTGGGCCAGCTGTCCTATTCATTCCCATTTTAAAGAGGGGAAGACAACAGTATTTTCCTTGAATTATGCCAGATACCACTGCTTTGAACCTGATTGGTTTGGCTGGACCCAAGATCGCAACAGGTAATCAGAGCCATGTCACTTTGAAACTAGCAGGACACTAGCAAGAACTGGCTTTAAGCTGAAGGGCTTTCGAGAAACCTAAGGGAAATACTTCTCAGGAAGCAAAAAGAGAGTGCGCATCCCTTCTGCTATGTGACCACATAGTGACGATGACACTGTCCAAAGCTCAGGCAGCCTAGAGAGTAAGGCCTAAGTGCCAGATGGATAAAGAGGAGGAGGGGGTGGGGTAGCATGCTGTTCCCTGAGCACCCACTGCCCTGGCCACTTCACACAGAGCAGGCCCTGGGTGACAGGAAACAAGGTGCTTGCTGTTACTCTTTGTGTTTTGCTTGAATACATGACGGAGTTAGAGCAGTAAAGACACTTACCAATGTGTAATTGCAGCTTATGAGGAAGTGTGGCCCCTGCTCACACTCAGAATTTCTACAGACCATGAATCGCCTCACGTCCCCTCATCTTTTGTCATTTTATGTAATCAAATGCTATGGGTTAAAGTAAAAATAGAAACAAACAGCTCCAGCCTGTGGGCAGTGCAGCCAGAGCTGGTCCCTCACACCTGACTCCGACTCTGACTAGGCTGGGTATGAGAGTGTCACTCACCCGCTCAAGAAGGCAGCCCTGTGCTCCTGGGAGAACAGGCCTGTCAGCAAGGTTTCCCTGCAACGTTCTCCCCTCTACAGGGTGACCCAGGTCTCTAGGCCAATTCCTGCATTCTCCTTAGCCAGAAGGCCAAGAGTAGGCTGAGGAGAGAAACAGCAAAGAACTTCTCTTGGAAGCTAAGAGGACTGCTACTGTCCTAGGTTTCAGAGAAGACTGGTGTCTTCACATCCTTGCAATCACGAGTCAACTCATGAGACAGGCAGGGACATGAATGAGTCAACAAGGCCCAGAAAGGGGGAAGGGTCAGAGGTGGGCAGTGTCACTTCCCGGTCCTCATTGTGGTCACTTACAACAAGACCACTTGCAGGAGCCCTCAGGTGTGAACCCCAGGAAGCTCTGGTTTCTCAATCATGGAGGAGAGGCCCCTTGAAAGAACAGGGGCGGCGAGGTCTAGTGGGAAAGCAGGGGCTCTGGGACCATCTGGCTCTTCTGGGCTAAGCTGTTTCTCTTCCCTGAGTCTTGGTTTCCTCATTTGTAAAGTGGAACTGACCATTGCTATTGCACAGGTACACTGTGAAGCCCCAGTGATGGCAGGTGAGTGTGAGGGGCCTGGCGCTGTTATCTGACAGGCGGTTGGGGCTTACCGTCCAGGGTGGCGCACGGGGCAAGGCCTTAACAGCCGCCAGAGCAGTGAGAGTCTCACACATGATAGCACAGCCTCCTTGTGCTTAGAGGTATGGCAATGCGAGTACACCGTCCCCCCCCACCAACACATACAACCTCTTCTAGGTGAGCCCGAAAAGCAGAATAATCATGGCATTTCTTGTGTCCCCTGAGGTATGCTTCTCAGCCCTGACCAAACACAGGCTCTGTGACACGCCAAGGCTACTCACCGGCTCGATTTTCAGAGCGTTTCGGTAGCTACCGAAGAAAGCAGCCTGGGCCTTGAGGAAGGCTCTGGCCACACCATCCCCAGTGGTTGTGGAGACCTTCTTCAGCCTGTTCTTCAGTGAAGAGATCTGGTGATGAAGAGAAAGAAAACACAGGTTGAGGACAAGGTCAAAGAGGGGTAGCTGACTAAGCCCAGTACATGGAGCCCTGGAAATTCCTACAAGTGGCAGGATCCATTTGATAGCTCAGTTACCCAGAGGACAAAAACATGTTCACGCTGCGTGCAGTGGTGCGCACCTGCAATCCCAGCTACCTGGGAGGCTGAGGCACGAGAATCGCTTGGACCTGGGAGGCGGAGGTTGCAGTGAGAGATCGCGCCACTGTGTTCCAGCCTGGGTGACGGAACAAGACTCAGTCTCAAAAAAAAAAAAATCTGTTCAAAATTAGGGCATGTTTTTGAAATTAAACAAGTGTTGTTCCTATTAGAACACATCTAATAAAAACAAAAACAATTTTTAATGACTTATTCCATGCCAGGTAAGCACTTTTGCATTCATTTTACAATTTAGTGACTTTAACAATCCAGTGAGGAAGGGATTAATGCTTCCATCTTACAAGGGTGAAGCAGCCTCAGGGAGGTTAGGCTACATACCTAGAAACAAACTCAAGACATGGCCGCATTCCCGTCGGTCTTGTAGTCTGAGCCCAAACTCAGTGAGTTCCCATTCTTTCCCTCTTAGAACTACTTACAAACATTAGAATAAAGGCTTTTTTACATTTCTCACACATCACACTCTAAAGGAAGTGTGGCAGCTTCTATTAATAGACACATACTCAAGAGGTCAAAACAAAGACAAGGAGGTGATGGTAATGGGAAAAGAAGCAGGTAACAGATTTGGTATATAAATGTAAGCCATAAGTCTTACATGGTGGCTAAAAATGGGCTTGAATTTGACTTAAAAGTCTCCTAGCAGCCAAAGCAAAGGGGCAAATCTGAAGGTTGTGAGATTCTACAGGTCCAAATACTACAAAGGGACCAGCTAGGAAAGACAAAACTTGGGATAAAATAGAAAATTAGATTTAGGTGGTCCATGAATCCTTTGCAGATTTTTAGTATGAATGAGTGTGAGTAAAGATGATTTTTTTGGGCACAGGATCCACAGCTTTCCTCAGATTCTTAAAGGTACCTGTGACTCTAGAAATATTAAGAATCACTTGCTGAGAAGTCTGGCGCAAAAAATCTGACCTGGGAAGGACTAGATATACTTTAGAAATGATCCATGCAGATTATGTCTTGTTCCCAAGCTTCTGATAAGAAAAATTTTTGATAGCTTATTGAGATTTATTTCACATATAAAATTCATTCATTTAAAGTATACAGTTTGGTGGTTTTTAGTAGTCACAAGATTGTACAACTAACTACTGCTAACTTTAGAACATTTTTATCATCCCCAAAAGAAACCTCATGCTTATTAGCTGTCACTCCCCATTCCCTGCCAATCCTACCCCACACCAGACCCCAGCAACCACTCACCTTCCGTTTCTACAGGTTTGTCTACTCTGGGTATTTTATACAAATGGAATTGACAAAAAGCAGTCTTTTGCTATCAGATTATTTCCCTTAGCACAATGCTTTATGAACAAGATTCATCCATGTTGAAGCATGTGTCAGGACTTCATACTTTTTATGGCTAAATAATATCCCACTGTATGGACAGACCACATTTTATCGATCTGTTCATCAGTGGATAGCCATTTGGGCTGTTTCTACTCTTGGTTGCTATGAAAATTCATGTATAAACTTTTGTGTGGAGACAACAGAGATTTTCAAGTGACAATATGAAAAGCAAAAATCCTCTGCCAAACATTATGCAATGAAAACAAGCTGGAAGGATACACAAAATCACCAAGCACAGTGCTCAGTACATAGGAAGCCATTAATAAATATGAACTGAGTACAGGGAAAAAAATCCTATACTGTTGGTAAAGGGCATACCTCACGTTTGGACAGTAAGCTGTGTAAAGATGGGACTGATGTCCTCCTCTGATAAGTCAGAAGCCATGGGGACGTGCCCAGCACTTTGGGAGGCCATGGCAGGAGGATCGCTTGAGGCCAGGAGTTCAAGACCAGCCTGGGCAACACAGTGAGATCCCATCTCTATAAAAACTATAAGATTTAGGCAGCCATGGTGGCACACGTCTATAGTCTCAGCTACTTAGAAAGCTGATATGGGAAGATTGATTGAGCCCAGTAGTTTGAGGTTGCAATGAGCTATGATTGCACCATGGCACTGCATCCTGGGTAACAGAGCAAGACCCTATCTCTAAAAGTAAAAAGCCCTGGGAACATACACTGGGGGAGTAGCTACCCCACCTCTACTCCAAGAGGGCACCATGGAAAACAATCTCCCTTTGGAAACAGTTTGAAGTCTATCTCAACATCTCGGTATCTATAACTGGTTTATACAGCCTCTCCTCATCAGGGACACATAAGCCCCAGCCCCACAGTGGTGACAGCCCCTGAGGAGCAAGGCCACTGAGCACACAGGCTGACTCTGCCATGGACTTTCAACTCCAAAGAGAAGTATGAAAAAGAAGCATCCTCTATTAAAATGCTAAAAATACTACCCACTCTCTGCTCCTGCCCCCAAAATAATAATAAAAATCCTGCCCCTCCCAGGGACTGCAGTGACATTTCCATCCTTTGAAATGGTGCAAGCCACTGTCGCTCTCCTTCTGGCTCCTCAAAGGCCTTGGGCCACCTGTGCCGCAGATTATTCCTCACTTAACCTTCCCTGGCCTTTCTCTTTCATTCGGGAGGTGTTTAATTACCTTGGATTCACAACGCTGCACTTCAGGTGAGCCTCTCCTAATGGCCTCATTACCATTTTACACAAAGAGGGAGTCGCTGATTGTAACTGAGCAAATACGAGTGTATTCCTTCCTGCCTGCCCCAGCTGGTCTGAAACTAGCCAAGTGGTCCTGGGCTCCTGATGCCCCTGTGACCACTCGGGCCAGGACTTCTGAAGACCTCCTCTCACCCTGCAACATGGAGAAGCTTTTGTCTTGACCTGCCAGCACTTCAAACTTTGAAACTGCAAGTGTCTGTGCATCTCATCACTGGGGGGTAGCATTTGTCCTTTAAATAAAAGTGAGGGAAGAAAATTTAAGGATTAAATAACAGAGTCATATATCTAAAGCTGAACTTGCCCTCAGTGCCCCTAGGGATGCTGGTCAAATCATCAACACTGGGGTTCATCAGGGGTAATGTGGGTGTGTTGTAAGTGCCGGTGAGGATGGCTTCCTTCTCTAATCAGGTGTCACAGGAGGAAGACAAAGCAAAGAGAGGACAAAACTGAACTCGCCAGCTCCTGTCTAAAGTGCCCTTTCCCCTCTGTTGCCATCTTGGTTACAGCAGCATCATCCAGCCAGTCTCCTGGGCGAGGTGTCAGACGTCAGATTCTCTACTTCCTCCTTTCCCACAAATATTCTCCTCATGTCATCACCACCAACCCGGACAGGCCCTGAATCCAGCCTCCCCTCTCAGTGCCATGATGTTGGCCCCGTAAGTTCAACTCCATCACCCTCTCTGGCCCAGACTAGTGGAGCAGTTTCCTCGGTGGGCCTTCCTCTGCTTTCAGTTTCTCCTCGATGCCATCCACCCATATCTGTCCTAGTAATCTTGGAAAAATCCAAATCTAATCACTTTGATCCTCCATCAAAACCCTTCAGTGCTCCCGGCTCTTCACCATCATTGCCTTCAAAAAACATCCAAACTTCCACGAGTAATGTCCTCAATCAGCCTTGCTTCCAACCATTTAATGTTAACCAGAAGCACAGGCTGCTCTCCAGCCCGTTCCCATCTCAATAACTCAGTCCTGGTTGTCTCTTGCCCCTTTCTGTCTGGCTTGTGAACATCTATTCAACTTCTGAAAGACCATCCAAGTCTCCATCAATGGGGGCCTCTGAAATACACTATCCCACATCCTCACCAGGAAATATCGCATAGCTGCTAAAAAGGACACAGCAGTACTCTACCAACTGACACAAAAAGATGTCCATGAAATACTGTCGAGTGGGGAAAAAAACATGCAAGTTTCAGAGTAACACGTACAGCATGAATCATTTAAAACTATATATAAATATATATGCAGTAAAAATCTAAAATGCTACATTACCAAACTTGAACCATGCATGATTGTTTTGATTATCCTTTATAAAAAAGCATATGTTACTTTTATAATAAAGAATTAAAATGAGGTATTTTTCTTTAATAGTCAAATTACCCATCGCCTTGGGTTAAGGGAAAGAGGGGATCCAGATGTCCCCCCATCTGTGAAACATGCCCTGACCACTAAGTCTGGGCCTCCTTGGACTGAGCAGGTGGTTCCATGGTGAGCTGCAGTTTCTACCTCCTTTCCTGATGGACTGAGTTCCCCGCAGGGCCAGCAGCCAGCACAGTTCTTGGCTCAGTGTACTCATGCAGCACTTTCTGCTGAATGAAAGAATGAATGAGCAAGTGTTTGACATTGTGAAAGGCATTTTCAGTGGCTGAGCCTCTCTGCTTGGAGGAAAGTCTAGGATCACATTCTTTAGTGATGGATCATTAGAAGAAACTGGTCTCTGTTGGAAAGGATGGGAGGAGAAAGTGATATTCATTCTCCTTTTGCAGAAAGTCATTGCTAAGACACAACCACAATGGCAGGAGAAATGAACATCTGCATGCTGAATGAGTTAAAGGGAACGAGATTGATCTTATACAACCACAAACTTACCACATCCAGTAGCACACACAGTATTGCCCCTGACCCCTCCTTGACCTGACTCTACCTGTTCCTCCTTTCAGTGGTCACTGTTCCCAACCTCTCAGGCCCCTGGGCTTCATTTACTCCTCTGTCTCCACTGCACTTCTCAGGCAGTAGAGCATAGAGTTTGAATCATAGAAACCTAGGTCTAAGATTGAAACCCTGGCTTCCCTACTTTCTTAACCTTTCTGAGCTTTAGTTCTTTGGCTGTAAAATGAAGTATGTACAACATATATACACTGTGAGGAGTAAAATATAATGAATATAAAATGAAGAATGGATGTAGCAGAGTGCCTAGCTTTTTTTTTTTTTTTTAGTTTAGA